TCTATCTATCTATCTATCTATCTATCTATCTATCATCGTCTATTATCTAGGCGGCCGAAGATCCCTGAGTTCCACTCACCATCCTCTTTCCCAAGCTCCGAAAAGCCCACTGTCCATGGCTTGTTCAATAAATTTGCTGCTTTCACCACCGGACGCTGGCTTGCTGCTCCATCGTTCCCTCTTTCGCCTTTGCTCCAGCAGGAGGCCGTGGCTTATGGGCTTGAAGAAGAGCTGGAGCGCCTTGGGAAGCCCGAGAGCTACTTTGTGCAGCTGCCCAAAGAGCTTCAGCGGAAACGGGATCTGCTGGTGGACAGCCTGGTCTTGGCGGGCATGAATCCTATCCTGCCAGAGGGCACCTACTTCCTGATGGCCGACCTCTCAACGTTTAGTGAGTTTGCCTCCAGCCATGCCCAAAGTCCTGGGACGATAGGAACTTTAGCAAAGACCTGCAAAGACCCAGCTGAGGTTGCCACGTCCTTTGTCTTCTCTTCCAGAAATCGATTTGCCGCCTTCGGAAGAACCCTACGATTTTCGTTTTGCAAAATGGATGATCGAGAACAAGGTGAGTGGAGAATGCGAGGCTCTAAAGCGGGGTCTCTCTGAGCACCAAGGACCCCTCATTTCAACCCTGAGCCCCACTCCTTTAACCTCAAACTATCCACTATTGACCTCACCCCATTCCTAAGAGGTCTGTAGGGGGGCGTGCATAAGTGCACCATTGTGCCTCCCGTCCCTGTCCTATTGTCCCCATTTATTCGTACCTATTTCCTGTATTCTTACTCATGTTTATTCTTATACCTATTATCTTGTAAGCGATTGACAAACCAAATAAATAAATAAAATAAAAAATAAAGGAAGGAAGGAAGGGGGAGGAAGAAGAACAGGAAAGGGGAAGGAAGGAAGGAAGGAAGGAAGGAAGGAAGGAAGGAAGGAGAGAAAAGGGAGGGAGGAGAGAAAAGAAGGGAGGGAGCTGGAGGAAGGAAGGAAGGAAGGAAGGAAGGAAGGAAGGAAGGAAAGGAAAGGAAAGGAAAGGAAAGGAAAGGAAAGGAAAGGAGAGAATATTGATTCCTAAGAGGTCTGTAAGGGGTGTGCATAGATTTTGCTTCTTGTGTTGAATTTTTTCATGTCTTTCACTACAGCGGCTGGCTTCCATTCCTGTCTCTGCTTTCTACAGTCCCCCGCAAAAGAAGAATTTTGACCATTTTCTGCGTTTCTGCTTTGCAAAGGTGAAGTATCCGGGCTTCAGCGAAGGATATTTAAAAGTTACTTTTGAAGTCTGGCTTTTAAAGCAGATTAGAAAGAAGGATCTTCTTGGAACTGTGGGTTATTTTTACTACCATGCATATCCACGTACTATACAGGTAGTCCTCAACTTGCAAATAACTCATTTAGCGACCAGTTACAAGGGCAGTGGAAAAAAGTGACCTACAACTGACCATTCCTCACACTTATGACTGTTGCAATATTTCCATGGTCAAATGATCAAAATCTTCCCTTCCCCTTTTCACCCATTTCCTTTCTCCTTTCCCTTATCCTATCCTAATCTTGCTTCATGTTTAATTGATCACTTTTAAAAAATAATGATTCAATTAAAAAAAAAATTATTTTTTAAAAGCTCATCTTTTTTTCCTTTCAATCTTTTAGGAGGACTCGACCTTGAAAGCCGCCGGGGACATCTTAAAGGAGTGGAGCCAGGAAAGGCAAAACCAGTGATGCATCAGCTACGGGGAAAGAAGCGGAGGCAAGTTTTGGGGTGTTGGCTGCCTGCCCTACGAGGAGACTGGCTTCCTGGGCCATTTGCAACGCAAGGCCGGCAAGTCTTCAGCAACGGAGGGTTTGACATTGATTTCCTTTCCTCCTCGCTCTGCAGGGTCTATGAGGCTCCTGGCCAGATGGTCTTCCCGAAATTTGAGCAATATTTGAGGAAGAGGGTTGCCACTCATTCCAGTGGTGAAGCAGCTGTGTGTCAAAGAATATCCACACCCCTGGACACGCTGAAAACCTCCCAGGGGTTTCTACTTTCTCAGGGTGGTCACATTTGAATTAAAGTTGCACTCCCTGTTGTTTGTCTGCAAAGTTTTTGTTGTTCCCAGCGATGTGTGGAAATTCTAGGGTTAGAAGGGACCGTCAAACTCATGCACAGAGTAACCATTTGGGGACGTTGGGCTCCCCTCTCATACCCACAATCGATTTGGTTGTCTGCCAGACCATAATAGGCATCATGAACCACTCATTGCTTGGATGCATCAACAGACGAGGTTATGCTCCCCCATTCACGGTTACATGAACAACTTTGCAACGGTTTCGTGATGCGCTAGGTCCAAATGAACCCGAGTTATTTCAGCCAGGCTCACACCACCATGCGCTGTCAGAAGGTTGCTTGAAACCTGGCCATTGAACCAAGGGGCGTCTTCAATACACTCTTGGCACGGACGTATTTTTTTTAACCTGAGGTTTCAATATCCTATCCAAGTAACTTTGAAATGTTACTTGGAGTTAGGTCAAGGTTAGTCTTTGCTTCACAAAATGCAGAGCAAGAGAACCATTGAGGGGAAGGAGTGTTCTTTTCTTATTTTAAGTGTTTCTCTTATTGAATACAAAGGAGCACACACACAACGAAATAGCTAAAAGGAGTTTAAAAGAAACCATGGGCCGATTAATTACAGAAAAACTGCCTTAAAATCTACTGGGACAGCAGAAAGAGAGAGAGAGGAAGAGAGAGAGAGAGAGAGAGAGAGAGAGAGAAAGAAAGAAAGAAAGAAAGAAAGAAAGAAAGAAAGAAAGAAAGA